GGCTCTGTCAGGGACAGAACTTCTCACAGGCATGCAACCACACTGAGATCCCAAGAAGGTTCTGTGCTCCCAACTTCAGACCCCATCATGTCGGCAAGGAGGGTGGTGGTGAAGCTAGGACAGCCAGCTGACTTGGGTGGGGGGGGGGGGACGGGGGACTGAAAGCAGGGACCTAGGCCAGTCTACTCCCTCTCCCAAGCAAGATCCGAGGACCAGGGTTTGTGAGCACAACGGGGTCCTAAGTTGAGGAAATGGAGGTGAGCTGTGATTAAATTCCCATCGTCGTCGTCGTCATCATCATCATCATCATCTGTTCGCATGGGAGCTTAAGATAAGAACTGGTTGATTCCTAAAGATAAGTTGTCTGCCCTAAATCTCTGGTCTGAGATGCAAACCAACCCCAGGGCCTGGCCTTCTTGCAGAAGGAGAGAGAGGACACAACACCAGAGGTGACCACTGCCTTTATTGCCTCTGTGCTGGGGTCCTGGGCTTGGGTTTGGAGGTATCTGGGGGGAGTAGGTGACACTGGGCCCAAATTATTGCTACTTGGCAAGGTCACCTTGGGACTTCCCATAGTGCCCTGAGTGTGGGTAGGCATGGACATGCAAATGATATGCAAATGACATGCAAACCAACCCAGGATCCTGCCGAGGTCTCTGGTGCAGCCAAGGGTGCTGGAAGAGTTGGAAGCCTGCTAGCCCAGGAGGGTGATGGGGACACCCAGGTCCTTACCCCACACTGGAGATCGATCCGGCCCAGCCTCAGGGGTCGAGGTTTGGTGGTGGGGGGTGGGGGTGGTGTCCCTGAGCATCAGCCCTGGTTCTGCTGCTGGCTGAGGAAGAGCAGAAGCCTGGCCCCAAGACAGCAGGAAGAAAGCAGGGTACCCACTAGGCAGCCAGACAGCCCGAGGCCCACCCAGAGAGGGAAGCGACCTCCTCTGTGTCACACAAGCCTGGGACAGAGGCGACCAGAATCCAAGCTTCCTGAGCCAGGCAGAGGCCAGAATGCTACAAACAACAAAATATGCTAATAAATAAATAGAAAGCAAGCAGCCCAGTCCCTGATCCCTGGGCTGAGAGACTCTCCACCAGCTGGGTTTTGGGGGGAAGGCTTGGAGAGCCCGCCCCCAGGTCTAAGAGTGGCAGCGTCCTTGGTCTTGGTGCTGAGTTGACCAGTCCAGAAGCTCCAGAAGGAGGCAGGTAGGGCCCCAGGGCCTTGGCTTATGCAGGTCAGGCTCAGTTATTATTCATAATCCACCAGGAGGCTAGGGGTCAGAGGTTGAGGGTTAGAGGCCATCAGGGGCCCACTGCCACTCCCTAGGGCTGTAGAGCGGGGTCGGGGGCCACAGCATACCTGGGAAGAACACAGTGGTGAGGGTGTCTGGAGCACGCAGGTGGTCAATGAGGACGCGCTGGAAGGCCTTACTGCAGGCAGACTGCTGGTGCCTGGGGAGGGCCGTGGAGTCACCTGAGGCTGGAGCTGGTCCCCCGAAGAGCAAGACCACATGGTTGAGAGCTCCCCACCCCCACCCCAGTCCTGCTGTCTGGATTCAGATCCCAGTCCTACCTCACATTGGCCCTGAGCCTTGGTTTTCTCTCTGTGAAATGGGGACAATAGTGCCTACTGGGCCAGGACACTGGAGGGATTACAGGAGGTAATATGTGGGTGCTTGGCATAGACTGTGGCACGGTGTGTATACACTGAGTGCCTGCCATCTACTGTGGATCTGCCATTGTGTTCAGCCTTCCATACACCATCTCATTTGGCTCATGAAAGGGTAGACCTATTATGACTCTCATTTTGGAAAGATCCCTGGGGCTCAGAGGGGATAAGTAAGTAACTCTCCTGAGGTCACACAGCCAGTGAATAATAAAGGCTGATTTGAACCCAGGCCTGACTCACTCCAGGGCCCATACTCAATATGAACTTTCAGATACCATTCATACCTTCTCCAGGAGGCCTCATCCCGCCAGAACTCATAGAGGGTGAAAGAGGCATTGTCCAGCATCTTCTGGGCAGACACACTGTGGGGCCAGAGAGATGGCCAGGCCAGGCCCAGGCTACCACCTCCACTGCCCACCCAGCCAGGGTATCTAATGGGAGCCCTGGCCCAGGACACCCGGCCCCAGCACTTTGCCCTGCTCGCCCTCCTTCCCCGACCTTGGCCAGCCCGTTAGCCGGCTAGGAACTCACTGCAGGCAGTGGCTCTGGGCCCCTGTAAAGTCCACATAGCAGCACAGGGCACGGTGGAAGTCCTGCAGGGCTGCCTCCGCCACGTGCACCTGCCTCTGGGCCACGAGGATGTGCTGGCAAGAGAGGCAGCCTTGTGAGCCAGGGTAAGGGGGGGGGACAGGGGAGGGGCTGGCTGTGGCCTTCAGGAGGACCCCGCCCTTCTTGACTTGCACTAGTCCCGCCTACCATGAGGTCAAGCTCCTGCCCCAACCTGGCCCCCAGTATCCCTGCCTCCATCCTCCCCTCATAGCCAAGATCACTGCCTAGAGCCAGCCACTGTCCCTCTCTCCTGCAGGATGCCACCACTTCCCCCTCCAGCCTCCACCCACACCGCCCAGACCCAGCTTTCAGGAATGCAGATGAAGTGAACTCATGCCCAGAGAGGGGCAGTGATTTCTACAGGGTCGCAGAGCAAGAGCCAGAACCCAGCACCTGCCAGGCTTAGGGGATGAGGGCTGGGCCAAGCCTGGGAAATGGGCATGTGTATAACAGAGGCCAAGCAGGCAGCAGGCCCCGTTAAACCCTTCATTTGATGAGCACCTCCTCTTGGCCCGATGCCCAGTTGCCTGTCCCTCCCCTGGACTCACCGAGTCAGGCCCCTTGGTCAGCTCCTCTTCATGCAGGGGTTCGAGCCGGGGGGCCTGGAAGGGACACAGCGTGGGCAAGCCCCCCGGCGTGTGCCTGGCTTAGGTGGATTCCAGGACGACCCTCCGCCCCCGCCCCGGGGCACCGGCCAGCTGGCCACTCACCTTACACTCGAGCTGGTCAATGAGCTCCTGGAGACGGTTGACCTGGAGCCGCCACTGCATCTCGGCCTCTGAGCTCTGCCCTGGGGTGGGAGACCCATGGGGGTGAGTCGGGCATGGGCCCCCTCAGGTTGGGAGGCTTCTCAGGATGAGCTGAGGGGCAGTGGAGGAGAGGGCACTGGGGGCACCTGTGTCTGAGGAGCCAGGAGACCAGGTGGGCGACCGACTGACGCTCCGCGGGGCCCTGCGCCCTGCCCGCCGGCAGCCATGGGGCCTGCTCTGTACCTCCACACTGTCTTCGTCTGACCTAAGAGAAGTGGAGGGTCAGCGCACTGCTCCCAGACCCACAGGCCAAGGGCTGGGGCCCCAGCACAGGGCTGGGCCTGGGTGGAGCACGACAGGCTTCCCAGGACACTGAGGCCCAGCCTCGAAGCCAGCCACCCCCACCCCCTTCACCCCTTCTTGGCCTCCCTGCCCAAGAACAAGAATAATGGGCTCGGGGATGCTGCAGCTGTGGAATGTGATGGATGCCGAGGGCCCTGGAATGTGGAGACAGTGACCAGCAGGGCACCTCCCATACCGTGGGCCACGGGCCTGGACCTCCAGGGTATCCGACGCTCCTTCCAGCGAACTCTGCAGGGCTTGGAGCTGGCTCACGGTCTCCCGCAGTAGGAAGCGGGTCACAAACTGGTCCACCTTGGAGGCCCGCTCATATTCCTGGGGGCAGAGGGGGGCATGCTCAACATATCCTGGCCCCAAGCATGCATTTCTGAATGGGGAGCCAGTGCCCTGCTTCCCCAGCCCTGCCCACCCAAGCACCAGTACAGCATCAAGAGCAGAGAGCGTGCAACCAGAGGACACTCCTGGGACTGGGAGCAGGGCCTGGACCCTCCTCGTCTGCGCCTGGCCTCCCTTCCTGGGACACGTCAGGCCTCCTTACAGGGAGGCATCTGCCATTTTCTGGGCCCTAAGGCCCCTTTCGTATGGGGCCACTACCTTCAGCCAGTGTAGCCCCAGGCACATCCAGGCTGGTGTGGGGAAGGACAGGTCACAGGGCATCCAGAGGCATCATGAGGCAAAATGATGGTGTGATGTGGCCCCAAACTCATAATCTATCATGCGTTCATTCAAGCACTCATCCACGCAACAGATAGGTACCTTCTACTGGAGCCGCAGATACAAGACAGCCAGGCCACTGTCCTTACACACACGGCACTGACTCCTACATCACTAGCCTCCACTCAGCCCCTCCCAATGTGGTCAGAGAGACAAGGCCGACATGCCAGGCCTACACTGCCCATTTGAGATGTTCAAAGATTCTCCAACTACCTTCACCTCCTTGTGTCTCAGTGTCCTCGCCTGGAGAAAGGGTGGGGGGGGGGGGAATAATAGCCATCTCACCGAACTGTTGAAAAACTTCAATGAGTCCATTCCTACTTAGGACACAGCCCGGGATGGGAGTCCAGGTGCTTGCCCACCCTCCACAGGGGGCCCTGGAGGCACCATCCGTCAGGGGCTTCATCTCCTTCCATGACCTGCCTTGGCTCAGCCATCAGATGGGCCCTGCTGGGCCACGCTTATGAGCTGGGAGGCAGGAACAGAATGGGGGCCGGTGCTCTCACTCTTAGGCCAGTGGTTTCTGCCCTGTCTCCGAGCCTCGTCCCCAGACTTCCTGGCCTCGCTCTGAGCTCCCTGAAAGCCTTCCAATAAATTCCATTTTGAGCACTTAGGATGGTCAGTCTCTGTTGCTTACAACCAAAATACCCTGCTGACACAAGCACCCACTCTATGCCATGCCCTGTTCCAAGCAGAATTTCATTTCATCCTCATAACAACTTATAAGAACCATAATTGGACCCCAATTTGTAGATGAGAAGATTGAGGCCTGGAACAATTGACTACGTTGGCCAAGATCACACAATTAGTTAGTGGCAGAGTCACAATTCAAACCCAGACCACAAAAATTCCTCTCTACTCACCACTAAACACCTTACAAGCATTGCCTCATTCGCGATTATTAGCGCAGTTTTACAGCTCAGAAACCAAGGCCGGAAGTCACAGCCAGAGTAAATGGAGCCAAGATTTGCCTGTGGGTCCTGGGAGGAGGAGCTTAGAGCCTAGAGCTGGTGAGGTTGACCCATGAGGTCACAATGTGGCCTCCGCAGGATAGAGTGAGGGCAGTGTGCCCCTCCCCCAGCCAGAGGGCAGGGCAGAGGCAGCGGGGGCTGGGGCCCCCAGTGGTGACCAGCCCTGCCATGGGAAACAACAGTTCTCACAAGAGGACCAAAGTGCCCAAACGGGCCTGCAAGGAGAGGCCACCCGACATGGACAAGGCTGGGCAGAAACAGCAGTTCTTCAGCCACCTCAAGCAGAAGAAGCCAAGTGTGAGTGCCAGGGTGTTAGGGGCAGGTGGGAGTCAGGGGAACTTGAACAGGTGGGCAGGAGGGGATGCTGGGAGTCTATGCGTTATGGGCATAATCTGAAGGGCCTGGATATCCCCTCTGAGGATGACAGTCCCAGGAACCCACGTGGTATGGTTGGGTCCTAAAAGCCCAGAAGGGAGGACAGGGATTCAAGCAACCAGGAGAAATTAAGAGACTTGGGAGCCCAGGACGGTGGGGCAGGAAGGGATTCTCCCAACTCCGCACAGATGAGGGCTCGGCATGGGGAATCAGCTCTAGTTGGTGCCACAGGGGGCTCCCTTATGCCCCCTTTCCAGCTCCCAGCCTCAAAACATGCTACTTTCCCCCATCTTCGAGTGGGCAGAGGCCCTGGATGGGGTCCGGTGGGTAAGAGTCCCAGCACTACGGCTGGGAGGGCAGGCAAAGATCCCATAATCGTGGACGGTGCAAGTCCCAGGAGGTCAGCCTACGGTGGGTTAGAGCTTCCAGAGGGAAGGCAGGTGTCCTGGGCAACGGCACAGGGGGAGACCCACTCCTGTCCCGGAGCACGCGGGAGTCCTGAAAACGTAGAGGGGGCAGAGTCTTGGGAGACTGGATCCTCAGGAAGAAGGCGCGGTACGCTCTTCCCCCTCACGCTCCTGCCCCACCCCCAGGCCAAGATCGTGCTGCTTTTCCCCTTGGACAAGCGGCAGCAGCTAGCCGAGGTGGCGGCGGGCCCAGGCGCGCGGCCCGGGCGGCCAGGCGAGGACGCGACGGGTGCCCCGGTGGGCTCCCCGGAGGCGGCGCCCATGCTGCGAGGAGCGGGCGACTGCGCTGATCGGCGCGAGGGCGCACGCGCGCGCGAGATGAAGAAGATCTTGGTCCTGCTGCTGCTGCTGGACGCGCGGCTGCAGGAGGCGGGGCGCTGCGCGGCGGGCGCGCCCGGGGCCGCGGCCAAGAGCGCGCAGGGCTGGCAGCGGCTCTACTCCCGCCTGCTGACCGTCGTCGAGGCGGACCGCGAGGCCGACCCAGCCGAGGAGCAGCGGCGCAAGCGGGGCCGCTGCCCTCGCCCGCGGCCCTGAGTTCCCGGCCGAGCCCCCGGCCCGTGGCCCAGTAAAGAGCACATAGCAACCCTGGCTCCTGCTGGCTCTGTCCGAGGCGGCGCAGAGCTGGGTGGGGGAAACTGAGGCCCAGAGCAAGGCAAGAATGAACCGGTAGTACTGAGGGCAGAGGTACGGCAACGGCTTGGCGCCAAAACTGTGCCTTCTCCTTCCTTGTGACCCAAGGGTCATAACCCCTGCCCCCAGGTGGGGAAGGGGCTCCCTGCTACAGTGGAGGGAAGCTATTTCCCTCCTCCTCCAACACCGGCCCGGGTCAGACCTTCCAGGTTTGCAAGCCCAAGGTGGGTGAGTTTGGGCAAACCCCGGTTTGGCCACGCTAGGAGGTGGGACCTGCTTCCAGCAGAAGCCTAACATCTCCAAAGAGTCCCCCAACAGGTCCTTCTTAGGCAGGGGGAGGGTCCCAGGCAAACAGCCACCACCACCCTGGAAAAAACTGTGAGGGTCCCACGGTCAGCAGGGCTGGGGCCTGAGACTCACATCCTGCCTGTGAGAGCACCCAGGAGGAGAGGCTGGAGTCTGGGGGCTTCTGACCCCTCACTCCTACCCCATTCTGCTTGGTAACTCCCCAGTCACCTCATCGCTTGCCTCTCACCCTACCCTGTGCCACCCCCTTCCCCACGCTGCAGCCAGAGATGTCTTCCAAACCACTTAGCTATCTGTAGGACAGTTTGCTCGGCTCATAAGCTCCCACTGATTTCTCCAAAGCCCAGAGGGAAACGCCCAAACTTCCGGCTGGCATGTGTAGGCTCAGGGCTTTCCCTCTAGACCTCCTGAGTGACTCGTATCCTCACCCTTGCTCTGACCATATTGCTGGAGACTAATCACGCCCCTAATCCACCCAGGAGAGGCCTGGTATGTTATCTGTGAGAAAGACCCAGCTAACTTCTCACTTTCCTGGGTCCCAAACCCAGCTCCAGCCCGGAGTACTGCTCCAGCCCTACCGAGCCTGTAGCCAGCCTTCCACTGGTGACCACCTCAGAATGTCCCAAAGGGGACAGATGCAGCAGGGGGTGAAGGTCCCAGCTCATTAAAGACACAGGCCCGGCTTCTGCTACAGATGCACTTTCGTTAGTGTCAACACGATCGACATCTCTTCCATATCCCCTGCATCAGGCTGGAAGTTGCATGACTCACAGCATCTCCCCAAATGCTTGTAAAAGACCCTTTCCGACCATCCATGTGGTTACAATCAGGATAACCGTGTCCTTCAATGTGGCCACACATCCTGGCCGTACGTGACTGGCCCAGGCTGGTCCTATCAGCCTCTTTCCTGGGACTGTAATTCAGGAGCTGTGAGAGACTGTTTTTTACATGAACACGCAAGGGCTTAAGCCAGTCTTCAGAAGAACAAAACAATGCAGAGTCTGTACACATCCTGCAGCCAGGCCCTGCATCCAGCCTGTTCCTGAAACCTGATTTCATCTTTGTCTTCAGTATCCATAACACTTACAAGATCCTTGTAATCAAATCCCTATTTTAGCTTAAGCTCACCTGAGTAGGTCTTCTACTTGCAACCAAAATGATCCTAAAGAGACCCTAGACTCGGCTCTGCCAAGACTAGAAGGGCCCTTTTTCCTGGATGAGGATTATTAGTACGTTCTGGAGGAAGAAACTGAGCCGAGAGAGATATTAGGACTTGCTCAGGGGGGCACAGTGAGTCATCTTCAGAACGGAGTCACAAACTCAGGTCCACAGGAGTCCATACATGAAAGCCCCTAAAGGTAGGGTCCCTATGTGGGCCACCTGCTACAGATCTGTGATTAAGAGCTTTCCCTTCAGCCTTGGGGGAGGGGGGCGGGGAGGGAGAAGTGCTGCACATCTGGCCAGAGTACATCGGATAATCTGGAGTGCTCTGGTTGTGCTGGACCGCTGAGGTCAGGTCCCCTGATGCCAAAATCACTCTCTTGGCCCTGTCCCAGGAGAGAGGATGAATCCAGCAAGTTTTCATGGAGGGAGAGGTCTGCGGAATACAGCAGGTACTGAGGACTGAGGTCACAATGAGTCCAATCCAAGTTCTTCTCCTTCCTTCTGTCACCACCCCCTCCCACCTTAAGTCAAGGCCAAGAGAGAGGTGCCAGGAGACTGTCTGGGGCTCAAAGACTGGACTGGACTCCTGGGTCCCCAAGAAAGAATATATGTCCAGAGGACGTTGCCATAAGGCCATCATTGTTAGAGCCCTGCTGCTCCCAGAGGCTTCTCATCTAGAAGGATCGGGCGAGGCCCTCTCAAAGTCTACCTCTGCCAGGACTGAGGGAGCAGAGCCGCATAGCGGAGGTGCATCCCCAGAGGGGTGGGCCCAGTCCAAGGTGGAGCCTTGAGCCTTGAGCTACAGGAGGGCAAAGAGGCCCCAAAACGGCCCGAACCCCGCAGGAGTGGAGCCTGACACTTGAATTAGTGGCGGGTCCTCAGGCCTGTGGGCAGAGCCAAGAGCTGAAAAGAGATGTCCAGTCTGGCTGGAAGAGTGGGAGCTCGGGACCAGAGGCTGAAGCCAAGAATTGAGGGCACTAGTTCTGTAACCAAAGGCAGGGATTTAGGCCTGGGGCCAGGGCCAAAAGCTGAAAGGTGGGCCTCCAGTGAGGCCGGGGGCAGGGCCCAGCCTCCGAGAGGGGTGCCTCTGGCAAATGGCGGGGTCGAGCCAGGAAAAGCAGCGGGATCGGGGACTGGGAGGTCGGCGTCCGGGGAGTCCGGGAGCCGCCGGCTCCGGCGGCCGCCCTCGCTGGGCCGCGTGGCGGTGGTGGTAGACCAGGGCTCGGGCTTCATCAAGGCGGGTTTCGGGGGCGAGCGCCAGCCCCGCCTGGTGCTGAAGAGCTCCAGCCTGGTGCCCGCCTGGGACCGGCCTGTGCTGCCCGGCGCACCCGGCGACGAGGTGGCGGGCCGCGTGGTGCGGGCGCATCCCATCAAGCACGGCATGGTGGTGGACTGGGAGGCGCTGGAGGGGCTGTGGGAGCGCCTGCTGGTGGGCGGCCTGCGGGTGTGCCCGGAGCAGTGGCCCGTGCTAGTGAGTGACTCGCCGTCGGCACCACCCGCGAGCCGCGAGAAGGTGGCCGAGCTGCTCTTCGAGGCCCTGGCAGTGCCCGCGTGCCACATGGCCAGCACGGCGTTGCTGGCGCTCTGCTCCACGGGCGCGTTCAGCGGGCTGGCCGTGGAGGCAGGTGCGGGCGTGTGCCACGCCACGCCTGTCTATGCGGGCCACTCGTGGCACCAGGCCACCTTCCGGCTGGACGTGGCAGGCAGCATGCTGTCGCGCTACCTGAGGGACTTGCTGGTGGCAGCGTGCCCCGATCTATCGCTGCGGGCCTTGCCCCGCAAGGCCATCACACAGCTCAAGAAGCACTGCTGCTATGTGTCGCTGGACTTTGAGGGTGACCTTCAGAACGCTGACCGCCACCATCCGGTCAGTCTCTGCTTAGGCACTGGGTGCTCCATCTGCCTCAGCAGCGAGCGCTTCCGCTGCCCGGAGCCCATCTTCCAGCCGAGTCTACTAGGCCAGGCTGAGCCAGGACTGCCTGTACTGGCCTTCCAGGCGCTGCAGAGGGTCCCTGCAACTTTACGGTCACGGCTGGCTGACACTGTGGTGCTGGCCGGTGGTTCCACGCTTTTCCCTGGCTTCACTGAGCGCCTAGAAATGGAGCTGGAGGCACAGTGCCAGAGGCACAGCTTTGGGGCACTTCGGCCTCACCTGGTTGCCAGCCCTGGGCGTGGCACAGCAGTGTGGACAGGCGGCTCCATGGTGGCCTCCTTGCGCTCCTTCCAACAGCGCTGGATAACCCGGCCCATGTATCAGGAGTGGGGCTCCAGGCTGGTGCACGAAGTGTTCAACTGAATCATGCTGGGCTGGAGGGGAGGTGCCACGTGAGGGGCTGCAGAGGCTCGGTAGGCTGAGCTATAGCTCTATCAGGAATTGAGTGCCAAATAAAAGTCTCAAGTGATTGGAGCTGGCAGAGTCATCATGTGCCGATGGGTCGCTCCCACCCCTGACTGAGCCAGGAGGAGGTGCTCGAGACCCCAAGGACCCTCCCTTTGACCTACAGTTTGGATCTACCCTAACCAGTGCCAGTTCAGAGAATACCAGTCCAGGTGCCTATCTCCAGGGCCCTGTTTCCATGGCAACAAGGAAGACAACACCCCACTTGTGTCCAGGCCACAGATACGAAAATTATCACAACACATCAACCGCTCATCATGTACTATTTGGATTCCCATCCTGTGTCACGCTTCAAGGGGTGAAAACCTACTAAAGCCCATGGGGAAACAACCAGAAAAGGAAGTCCTGTCCTTGGCTGATCATTGACTCACTGAGGGCCTCAGTTCCCCTTTGTGGGGTCAGGCACAATCCTGGGCCTCCTCACAGTTCCCGCCTTGCCTCCTTATTAAAAGCTATGGGACAAAGGGAGGTGGAGACATGTCTTAAAAGGAGGAGCAAGCCCCTCCCTGTGGGGTCCTGGGCTTGATACTCAACAGTTAGGTCTGGCCAATAGTAAAAACAGCAGCAGCAGGAGCTCCAGGTACCAAGTGGCTGCTGTGTGCCAGGCACAGCTCTGGGTGCTGGGAATAGAGAACAAGGAAGACAAAAATGCCTGCCTTTGTTCTCATTTAATTGTCACATCAAATGTCTGGAGGTGAGCTCTATTATCCCCAGTTTACAGATGAGAAAACTGAGGCCCAGAAAGACAAAGGTACACACCCAGCAAGTGGGAGAGAACCCAAGCCTCTAGCTCCCCAGCCCTGAGCCATGACAGTAGAGGCTCCCACAGCATAGCAGACACCCCTGCCCTCGCTCCAGGTCCTCCACCATCAACCCCTCCACTCACCAGCTTGGTGGTGTCCATGGCAGTGAGCACTGCACAGTTCAGCGACTCCAGCGCGGCCAGCACAGGCTGGTAGACACCCAGGTGTTCTGAGAAATAGTCTGCAGGCAGAGAAGGGGCTCAAAGGTCCCAGACCACCCCCTCCTCCTGCTCCACGGTCTCATTTACCCAACCTGGGATTCCTCAACTGCCAACCAGGCCTCATATCCTGAGCCCATCTCATTCCATTAGCAGAGAAGGAACAGCCTCGAAGGAACATCATGCCCACCTGCCTAGGGGTGGCAGACCAGAGCTCCCCTGGACCTACTCACCACACAGTTTCTCTGTTTCCAAATTGCTGCAGGAAAGAGAACAGCACCCTTCAGTCCCACAGACTTAAGCTTGGTGACCTGAGACTTTACAGCCAGTGTTCCTCCCATTGCCCACTGCAGCTCAGCCTGATGAGGAGGCTGCTTCTGCCCCCACCACAGCTTAAGCTGCTCAGTGGGCCAGCGGGGGCAGCAAGGGTATCACTGAGGGCAAAATTCAGACCCATTCTTGGCCTCCTAGGGGATCTCAGGCCCTCGGAGAGAAATGTGGACACAGGCCAGGGAGGAGTGGTCAGAGCCGGGAAGGAAACACCAGGTCTGGAAGTCCAGAGAAGGCCTGGGGTATTACTTGGTAGGTTAGGGAGGCCTTCCAGAAGGAGGGTGCTTAAGTTAGGCCTTCAAGGACAAGGAATTTGACTGGAGTGTCTGGTGGTGGGGAGGTAGCCACACTGCAAATACAAGGTCCAGCCCAAGCCTCAGAGTAGGGAAAGGCATGGAAGCCTTAAGCACCAACCCAGAGTCTGGAATTTATTCTAAGGAGACGTTGGGGGAGAGGCAGGGACAGCTGTGGATGCGTATGTGCCCATGTGAGGAAGCATGGGGAGGGAAGCATGCAGACTCCTGCTGAGTCTCGTAGATGTGGGAGCGCACACGGGGAGGTACGTGCATGTTCATGCACCTGCATCCACGGGTGGAAGCAGGCGAGGCCCAGCTATCTTCAGGCATCCTCTTGTCCTTGCAGGAAGCAGGAATGGGGAGGGGGGTTGGGGGGACACCTGTGGGCTGAACCACGGCTGGTGACTCAAACCTGGCTATTTTGGGGTCCCAGCTGGAAGGAGTGTGATGGACAAGGCTGGAGCCAGGGAGGGGGGTGAGTGGGCGGGTAAAGCTGGCATCAAGCCCTGGCACCTCTCTCCCTATGCAACGCCCCATCCTCCATAAGGAACCAAGGCAGCAGGGGACACCGCGGGGCTGGGACAGCCTAGCTTCACATCTACACCCAGCTCACCCACCCGCTCTCGTACTCACTCAGTGGGGTGCCCATCAATGCCGCTGAACAGCTCCCGCAGCTCCGCAGGGCTGAGAACCCCATCAGCAAAGTAATTCTGGAACTCCTCAAATGAGAGCTTACCATCATCTGGGGTGGGGGGCAGAGAGTAGAGCTGGTATCCCTGACCCCTGGCCACACCCCTGCCACCAGATTCAGATCCAACCCCTCCCCGCCGACCCTCAATCCTCGAAGACTACTTGGCCAGGTGGAATGGAATTCTGAGCTTGGTGGGGAGGACCTGGCTGTTGGGGACAAAAGGGCCTCCAGAGGTACCCACTTAAGGCAACAGGGCCCACTTTGCAGGCACCCAAAGGACAAGACAGCACACACGTGGCATTGCATAGGGACTCAATAAATGTTTGCCAAATGAAGAAGCAAATGGAAAGCCTGGGACACAGCCAGATCATGGCAGGACCTAGACATCACTCGGAGGACTTGGGAGCTGAGTGTCTGCCTGCCAAGCCTGGCTCCGGGCTGCTCTGGATCCACTCCCTTCACAGAGAAGCCACCGGGAGGCAGATGAGATCTTCCTAAGAGTTGGAGCCCCTGCAAGGAGCAGGCTGGCAGGATCAGGAGGGAATGACCTCCTCTCCACAGGGGCCAGGGAACAGTCTAAGAGCACCAGTGGGATGGCCAGAGACAGTGGGGATTTGCCTGTAAGATCTCTAAGCAGATGGGGTTGGGGGAGCAGAGCTGGGGAGGGGGTGGGGATCTGAGCCTTCCCAGAGTGCTGTGATCCAAATGAGACCATGTGTGCCAGCTGATCAACGGGCTGGGATATGATCCTGTCTCCAGGAGGCTGAAACGCCAAAGGGTCTAGGACCCCAGACAGAAGTAAGCCCAAGGCTGACCAGCTGCCTCGGCTCAGACCCTCACCTGGCCAATCAGGACACACTGGGCTACTCCAAGCTTCTGTGGGCAGCAACTTGCCTGCGGGCTCCCTTGAGGGCTCCTGCATTAGCTTTCAAAGTTTTCCCAAACCAGGGTCTGAGCATGCCCAGGACCCAGGGCAGGGGAAGCGGACTCCCTAGACCTGGCAAACTCTCCCTGGGTCCAGCTGGTTGGTCATATGGAAAGTTACTGAGCCCTCTAAAGACTGAAGAGCACAATCCCCCACAGGCCTCATCTCCATCACCCCACGTTTCCAAGTCCCTTAACATAGGAAGCTTGGGACCAAGCATGACACAGACTTGGGTTCAAGGCCCACCACTCAATGACTGTGTGACTTCAGGCAAACTGCTTCACCTCTCTGGGCCTGGGCTCCTTAGTCTGTAAAATGGGGTGAAGAATTCCCACCTAGCTGGTGTGTGAGGACAACATGAAATCATATAGAAGGGCTACCCATACCTGTGCCAGGGCACTGTGCGAGAGTATGCCCCCACTTCCAGCCTCTGGCTAAACCACATTCCCTCCACTCTCCATCGTGCCAAGCTGAACTCCAAATGGCACTCCCTCTGGGAAGGACAGCTTGACTGATTCTCCTGATTTGGGTCTCCCCAGGATTTTTCCCTATTCTAGACTGTGCTCCCAAACCCGTGATGCTCCCCTGAACCTCCTTGATGGCCCCCACCCCTCCCCACACTGTAGACCCAAGGGAAGGCACACTCACCATTTTTGTCTGCTCTGCGGAAAACCTGGAGGACAAAGGGGCAGACGGGAGCTGTGAGTGCCACCTGGGAGGCAGAAGGCCCCCACCCAGCTCATCAGGGCCCCAGCTGGCCAGCCTGCCCCCCCCAACCTTGCCTTTCCTCCTGCTCAGCCTGGTTCCAACCCCCTGCCCAGATCAGCCCTGCGGGAGATTTTCCAACAAGGGGGGCACAGGAAGATCACACAGCAGGTCCCACCGCTTGCTCAGTTTTCCTGCGGGTCCTGGCCCCACAGGGGGTGCTCCTCACCAGCTTCCAGCTCCCCCACCTCCCACACCCAGAGTCTACCCTGGGTTCTGTCTGATGTATCAGCCCTCGGCACAGTCCCAGCTTGAGGACAGTGGGGACATGGGCCAAGTTCCTGGGCACTTGTCGTCCCAGACCTGAACCCCTTAACTCTGCATCACGGCCATGGACCATCCCAGACTCTGCCCACTCCAGGCTCTTTCCCTGTGTGCTTAAGACCCTAATACGCAGTAGCTAGTTCTTTCTTTGTGGGTGTCTGGGGTTAACTCTTCCAGGGCCGGGGCTTCCTATGAGGCTGACTCAGTATGAAGGCCTTGGACAGGCTCGTGTGTGCATGCACATGCCTGCACACACATGTGCACAGGGGAGTGTGAGTGGCAGAAAGCAAGGGTGGACCGACTGTATTTACAGAGAAGCAGAGATGAAGGGCAACAGTGGCAGAAAGAAAGGAAAAGAGTCAAGACGTAATCAGGGACCAGAGACTTCCAGGTCATCCGAAGCAGCCCAGCAAAGGGAGACCAGCACATCTGGCAAGGAGGGGCCGGCCAAAGTCTGGACAAAGAAGCCTTATCAATTCCAGGTCCTGAATGCCACCCCTCTCCAGCTGTTTTTCTCAGGATCAGTGAAGTGTCGGGATGAATCTAACCCCTAGACAGAAGCCTGACTCAGAGAAGGTCTGCCACTGGTTCAGGTCACACAGCAGCACAGTGTGGCCTGGCTGGGGCAGGTGGAGATGGCAAGAAGGGGTGTTATGCTGTGAATGAGGGCACCTGGGGCCACACCCAAGCATGCTTCTGTCTCCATGTGTGATTGTGGACATATTCCTAACTCCTCCCTCCTTGGTTTTTCCATCAGGGAAGCGGGATGGACAGATCCCTTCCATCCAGGACTGTGGTCAAGGTGCTGAGTCACTGGGGGCAGCCAGGAGGGGACAGGAGTCCGTCTTTCCCACAGGCAGAGACCTCTGAAGGAAGCGGGGGGCATGAATGGGCCACGATGGAGCTGGGCACTAGGGTGAAAGGGGAGGAAGGAGCCCAAGGCAGTGACTGAGGCCTGGCAAGGCTGCCCTATGTTGGTACCCCTGGGGGTGCTAAATGGCCACCTACCACACATAGGAAGGAGGCACAGACCGCTGGGGGCAGTCCTGACCAACTGCGGGACCCCAGGGCCCCTGGGTCAGATCTACAGGACTCCAGGAGCAGCACTGCATCAGGAGTCCAGGGGCTGTTTATTCTTCCAGGCTCCCTTGACTGGGTCAGCCCAGCCTGAAATTGCCACAGAGGGGACTGCTCCTGTGATCAAGTGTTGACAGCCCCTACTGCAGCAGACACGTAAATGGGGTGCACTAGGGAGTGGGGGGCAGCAGCGGCAGTGACACCGAACCAGGAGATGAGGAGAGTGAGAGACAGAACGGACAGAAAGGAAAAGAGAAAAAGAGAAGGGAGAATGGAGACAGCAGGGTCAGAGAGAGATGGTGAGAGGCAGAGACCCAGAGACAGAAGCAGGGCACCAAAAGACCTGGAGACAGAGAGACGCAGAGACGGGGGTAAGGAGAGACAGCGAGAAACAGAGAGCCCAGCGAGACACAGGGAGAGAGCAGACAGACCTGGTGAGACTGACAACCCCAGGGCTGGAGAGCCTTCGCCCCCTGCCCGCTCCCCACTCACGTCCTGGAAGAGCGCGTGTCCGGCGGGCCCGGAGGCAGGCACGGGCGCGGGGGGCCGCCGCGGCTCGGGCGCGGGCGGCCGGATCAGGCACAGGGTGAGCAGCCCCGCGCACGCCATGGCGCCGCCACCCACTCGGCTCCGGCTGGGGCTGGGCTGCAGCTCCGGGCTATGGACGCCGCCGCCTCGGACTCCGGGGGACGCCCGCCTATCGGCGCCGGCGCGGACGCCCGGGGCCCCGCCCCCCGCGGCTCCACCCCCCGCCCCTCGGGCCGCGAAGGCCCCCTCCCCGCCCGCCCGCCCCTCTCTAGAGCCTCGCCTTCACGAATGGAAAGGCAAACTCCAGCCGCCAGGTGGGCAAGAGCTGCACAACGTAGGACACCTTTCGCCTCCGCAGCTCTGTTATCAGAGGCTCCCGGAGGGTTGGCAACTGTGGAGTAAGGAACCACCCGAGGGGTCACTGTCAGCCGGGACTGGCTGCGTAAATGACAAGTGACGGTCGGCTTGGGAGTACTACACAGCCAGCAACAGAACGGAGGGCTGCGTGGGTCCCACACCACTGTAGGGTCAACAAAGCCAACTGCAGAACAGAGTGACACCTTGTGGGGAAGACCTGCAAGGGACTTCAGCTGAGCGTCTGTATCCTTTTCTGCAAAATGGGGTAATAGTAGATACCATCTAGGATTGTTGTGGGGACTCACTGACTATACAGGGCTTAACATAGGACCTGGCTCAGATAAAGCTCACCTAAGGGTTAAACAGATCCGTGTGGGGGCGCCTGGGTGGCTCAGTCGGTTAAGCGTCCGACTTCAGCTCAGGTCATGATCTCATGGTTCGTGGGATCGGGCCCCACTCAGGCTCTGTGCTGACAGCTAGCTCAAAGCCTAGAGCCTGCTTCAGATTCTGTATCTCCCCCTCTCTCTGACCCTCTCCTGCTCACGCTGTCTCTCTCTCTCTCTCAGAAATAAACATATTAAAAAAAAAAAAGACAGATCTGTGTGTACAGCCTCCCAATCACCCTCCCCTCCCCTTTCAAACTCAACTCAGTCCTTTTTACACTCCCCTCTGCCATTCTGGCCCCTCTTCAATTCATCCTCCACATAACAGCCAAAGGGAGTTTTAAAATATAAAACAGGGTATGTCACTGCTATCTCAGACTCATCAGTGAGTCCCTGTCCCCTGAATAAACCCTAACACTGAACTTTCCACTCTAGCCCTCCCCTCAGGACTCCACACTGGTTTCTCTGAGGTCCTCTGTGCCACCTCCCCCCCCCTCCTGCCCTGGGGCCTTTGACCACAATGCCCTGTCTGCTAAGTGGGTTCATGTTTTCCTCCTCAGGTGACTATGCTAGAGTTCTCAGCTCAAGCATCACCTTTTCCAGGAAGCCCTCTGATTTTCCCATTTGTGTAAGTCTCTCCCCAAGAGCCTCATGAGGGCAGGGAATGTGTCCCCAGAACCTGAAAGAACCTGACACACCATCAGCCTGTTTTAATTATTTGCTCCATGTTTACAAATGCCCAGAAACATCTGGAAGGAACACAGCAATCAGAGTGGCCTCTCTGAGGCTGGGAAAAGGAAGGGAGTTCACTTACCACTTCATTGGATCAGTTTCTAAGTAAGGACAAAAATGGTGATGAAGCCTGCCTTTCTTGTGGCTGGGAGGTTCAAGGGAAATGAAACCAAGTAGAGGCAGGGAGAGGGGAAGTAGACAAGGGGTATTTTCCCAGCAACCTTGACCTCTCCCACCCCCAGATTTGCTCCTTGTACACAGTCCCAAAACCCAACCCAAACACCATCAAAATATTTATTAAAACCAAAGCAAGAGGGAACAGAGCAGTTAGAAAGGCAAATCAAAGTGCAGATTGGAGGGTAGGGCAGAGCAAGAAGTGGGGTAGAGGGGGCACTTCAAATGCCACAGGAGGGGCCCCTGTGGTCTGGGCTAGGGGAAGCCCTTGACCCACCCCTCCTGCCCACCCTGTCAGTGAAGGTCCCCCACTCACCTCTCCCATCTCACATCCATCCTGGGGGGCAGATGGGGTCCTGCAGTGACCCTCTGGGAAGGGACCACCCCCTCAATCCACCCATGGCTGTCAGTCAGTCAGTCAGTCTCCCTCCCTCACTATCCCAATAAATAAACCGCTCAGGCCTCAGCTCCTTCGGAGTGGGGCAAATTACAGCTTTAGGGACCCCTGCCCTCGCTCAGGGGTATAAGGAGTTGGGGCATCAGTCCCACACCCCTCCTACCCTTCGCTGGTGCCCCAGGCTTGCCAAAGAGGCCTTGATAAATAAATAACGCTCCATTAAAGCTTCGATCAGAAAAACCTTTAAGACGACAGAAGTGCTCTCGCTGTCCTGCAAACAAGCAGGCCAAGGCCTCGCCACCTGGCCTGGTCAGCACACAGGATTCTGGGGGCAGGTGGCCACCCTGGGCCTCGTGGGGCCCCTGGAGCAAGGAGACCAAAAGTGCAGTTAGAGCCCCCACCACGCGCACACATGGACTCATGCACACACACGTGGACACACTGGGGCGTGTTTTCAGTGCACGCACAGATGTGTTCACCTTCATTCCCCGGTACATGCACACACACATGCTCACACACCACTCACCCCGTGTACACACATGTTGGGTGCTGGGTGCATGCACATACACACCACAAACAGAATCCTTCCCTTCCTGGCTTGCTCAGCCTCCTGGCAGTAGCCAGACTCCAGAGCTAGAAGCTTCTGGAGACAGGGGAGATAGGGTATAAATTAAACATTTCCAATCGGGCTGGGAGGACGGCCAGGGGCAGGGGGCTCCAGGGCTGCAGAGACAGGGTGGGCATCTCAGGAGTCCCTGGTCCCCCCTAAGCCCCATCAGAAATCCAAGGGGGTAAGGTCCCCAAAGTCACAGTCGAAGAGGTCTTTGATGCCCTCACCCTCCTCAAGGCCAAAGTGGTAGTCGAGGGCCTCGTGGGGAGGGGACAGGCTGATGAACTCCTCAGGGAGGAGGCCGGAGAAGTCCTCCCGCACATGCTCCAGGAGTGAGTCGGCCGCCACCAGCGGGGACAGGCGGTCCTCGTCCACAGGGGCCCGCAGGCCACCCATCCGGGAAAGCAGAGGTTCTGGGGAGACGGGGGAGCATCACAGGCCAGGGACGGCCCGCAGGGAGGGCAGCGGGGCTGTCATGCCTGCCCACCCAGCTGGGAGAGGGGCCCAAACCCACCCCACCCACCCACCCACCCTTTACCCACCTTGCTCCAGGCTGAGCAGGGACTGGCTGGGATCTGCAGCAGGGGATGAGGAGGGAGATGATGGTGGTGGCACTGTGGTGGCAGGGTCAACTGCCCTGTCTTCCTCCCCAGAAGCCGTCCCCTGGGACGAGGTCTTCCCAGGGCTGATGCCGCCTGCAGTCTCCTCAGGGCACAGGAAAACGTCAATGGGGCCTTGCTTGCTCTTAAGGGAGATCTGAAAGGTCTGGGTGGAGGCAGCAGGCAGGATAAATTGAGGCTCGGCTGACCACCGGACCCACCCCAGCCTGTCTTGGTCAGGTCTGGAGTCCTGAGTCTCACCTCTGAGGAATCTATGGCTTGGAGTTGGGTCTCAGGAGGGGCCTTGATCACCATGACCATCTGCTCTGCAGGGTCTGCGATGCTACGAAGGTCCTGGCAGGTCACATAGGCCAGGGTTGGTGGAGTCAAGGACCATGTGATCTTTAACCTCTGGGGCCACCCACCCAGAGGATTCCTAAGAACGCACACCTACCTAGTCTCTCCTGTCCTCTCCGCCCCCCACCCCAGGGCCTGGCACATAGTTGGTGCTTCGGCCTATGTCACACCTTGAGCCCCGATTTCCACATCTGTACAGTGAGACCATTCTACCCATCTAATCCCAAGTTAATGATGACTGCCTGTAATAATTTCATGTAAGTTATGTAAGACAACTCCAGGCCTGGTGCTGAGAATTTATTCTGACCCATGATCTTGGTGTCAGTTGGTGGCTGTCTCCAAAACTTATAAACATAATCTGAGTATTCACTAAAAACAAACAAAACAAAAAACTTATTTTAAAATAGTTTCTAGGGGGGCGCCTGGGTGGCTCAGTCGGTTGGGCGTCTGACTTCAGCTTAGGTCATGATTTCATGGTTGATGGGTTCGAGCCCCGCGTTAGGCTCTGTGCTGACAGCTAGCTCGGAGCCTGGAGGCTGCTTCAGATTCTGTGTTGCCCTCTCTCTCTGGCCCTTCCTGACTTATGCTCTGTCTCTCAAAAATAAACAGACATTAAAAAAAAAAAAAGTTTCTAGGGACACCTGGCTGGCTCAGTCAGTGGAGTGAGTGTGCAACTCATAGTCTCGTGGTTCTGAGTTCAAGCCCCATGTTGGGTGCAGAGACTACTTAAAAGTAAAGTCTTAAAAAAAAAGTTACTATTTTTGGAAGACAAACAAGAACTGAGATCTTTAACTCTGAAGTTATGGCCACGGGGCACCTGGGTAGCTCAGTTGGTTAAGCATCCAACTTTGGCTCAGGTCATGATCTCACGGTCCATGGGTTCAAGCCCCAAGTCGAGCTCTGTGCTGACAGCTCAGAGCCTGGAACCTGTTTCAGATTCTGTGTCTCCCTCTCTCTGCCCCTCCCCTGCTTGCTCTCTCAAGAATAAATAAAGTTCATTTGAAGTTATGGCCACGTACTGAATCACTACCAAATCAATGTTTGCTATTGCTTCTACTAGGTTTTCTTGTTTTAATCTGTGCAATTTCGGAATTGATTACTTTCCCCTTTTCCAGATGTAGCTGAGGCTCAGAGAGGTTAAGTAACTCGTCCAGCATAACAAGTAAATGCTGAGCCCAGAACTTGCATCCAAAGCCAGAGCCCTCTCCTGAATCCATGGCCCAGGGTAGCCTCACAGTCCCACTTGGATGGGACCCCCACCCGCCAGTCCTGTCCTCCATGGCAGCAGTCCCAGAGATCCAAGGATATCGCTGGCTGTCAGAGTCCTCAGAAAGCAGCCGCAGTTGTGCGGTACAGATATGGATGAGGTGGTCCAGCTGCCGCTCACTCTCCTGCAGTTGCTGGAGGTCCTGGGTCAGTCCTTCAAGCCGCCCACCGATCCCCACTGCCGCATGGCTGCCTCTGCAGGAGGCAAAGAGAGGGCTTGCAGCTCCTGGCCCAGGAGCTCTGACCCAGGAGCTCTGACCCGCAGCACTCAGTCTGCTGCTGCCTGTTCTGTCAGATCTAAGCGAGCCTTTGTCCCTCTCTGGGAAGCAGCAGAGGGCTGAAGCTGGGCTCCAAGTCAGACTGGCAGGGGTCTAAAGTTGGGCCTAAAGGTCTGAAAATACCAACGTCTCCCTTACAGGAGGCAGGATAAGTAAATGATGGTGCAGGCATGCCGTGGAATACTATAAGGTTGCATAAAAGGATGAGCATGCATCAGATGTACAGACATGGAAGCACTTCAGACATGTGGTTAAAAGAAAAAAAAATGATGCAGAATGGAATGATCTGCTAAAAACGGAAAAGGCAGGTGTGTCCATAACAGAGGAGTAGGATGACGAGGGGAGCAGAGGAGAAAAATAAAACAAGAATTAACAATAAAACAGATGTGTTAGACAATCCCATTGATGGCAACAGAGGGCAGAAGAGTGATCACCTAATGGTATCAGGGGTGGGCAACAACTGAGAAAGGGCACAGGGAACTTTCTGTGGTGCTGGGCGTGTTCTTTATCCTGATCTGGAGGGTGGCTCCCCAGGCGAAGAAATACATGAAGGCGCATTAAGCTGCATATGTGAGATCTGTGTACTTTCCTCAGAGAAGCCACCTCCACTCGCTAAGCCCCCATTTCCCCAGCTGGATGACAAGGACACAGGCAGCCACAGTGGGTTCTGCTCTCAGCTCCTCCAGGCTGGTCCAGCCCTGCGCCTCAGCCTCTGCCTGCCCTCCTATTTGGCTGGTACCTACAGCCACTGAATGTGGTTCTTGGACTTCTTGGCAATGAGCTGGATGCCCTCGAGGACATTGGTGATGTCATAGATGCGCCGTTTCTGCACCTTCAGCACCTCGGCTGCCCAGTTCAGATCAACAACGCCATCAGCTGAGCGGCTCAGCAGCTCCAGGAAGCGTTTGGTGGTCAGATTCAGCGAGGTCTCATAGCGTGACTTCTCCCCTGGGGATTTCACACCTGGGGGTCCAGGCGAGGTGGCTCCCTCAGCACCACCCCACCCCCAGGCAGGCCTTCCTGGCAATGCAGGGCAGAGGGATAGGGGTGGGAGGGGTAGATGGCTCCTTCCCCTTGGCCAAGCCGACAGGGAGGCCCTGTGGCTGCTGCCTGCCAACCACATGGCATTCCTTTCCTGGCTGGGGAACTCCCCACCCCCCAGGGTCTGGGGAAGCCATGCCAGGCGGCCACTCCAGCTGCCCCTCGGGGCCTCCAGAGGCCTGGCTCAGGTCCATGCCTGAGAGACCAGAGCTCACTTTGCAAGCTTATTTGTCTGTCCACACCCCCAACTTGGGCCTGGTCAGGGGGCCTGCCCCAGCCCAAGTTCTGTGGGTACCTTTTCCTGGGTGGCGGCCTCTGCCCCGGGCTGGCCCACTGCTCTCGGCCAGGTACTGATGGTCAGTTTCCAGGTCCAACCTCCGCTTTACCTGTGGCAGAAACAATGGGATGATGCCCAATACCCAGGAGTGAGGCTACAAGAGACCTGACTTAGGGCTTGATGCTCCTGGGCCACCCCTGCCCCACTTTCTCTACCGGGACACTTAGTGTGTGAGGGATCCCAGGGGACACAATCCTACTACACAGGGCAGATCACTCAACCGAAGGGCAAAAGACCCGAGTTCAAGTTCTAGCTCCACCACTACCTCCCTGGGGGCCTGTGATGGTTTAAAAATATGTCTGCAAATTTCTTTTTGTTTTTAAGTTTATTTGTTTTGAGAGAGAGAGAGAGAGAGAGGACCCATAGATGCATAGTGGGGGAGGGGCAGAAAGACAGAATCCGAAACAGGTTCCATGCCGTCAGCGTGAAGCCCAAAGCGGGACTCAATCCCACGAACAGTGAGATCATGACCTGAGCAAAAATCAAGTTGCTTAACCGACTGAGCCACCCACGTGCCCCTGCCTGCAAATTTCTTGGTACTCTCCCTTTCAAAAGATTAGGGCCTAATTCTCCTCCCCTTAAATATAGACCTGACCTGGTAACTTGCTTCTAAATGAGCAGTGTGATGGAAATGATGACAAGTCACTTCTCAGACTGGGTCCGAGACGCACTGGGGCTTCCTCCTTGTTCTCTGTGTTGGATCACTCACTCTGGGGAGTGCCACGGCCATGCCACACAGGCCCAGGGGGCAAGGAACTGAGACTTCCTGCAGTAGCATCCCAGGTGAGCCTAGACACAGCTCCTCCAACCCTCGTCATGCCTTCTGATGACTGCCACCTGGCCCAACACTTTGGCTGCAACCTCAGAAGAGACCCTGAGGCAGAGGCACTGAGCTAAGTCTCCTCTGAATTCTTGCCCCACCAAAACTATGTGATAATAAATGCTTGTCATTGTTTTTTTTTTTTTAAAATTAAGCTTTTAATTTCATTTCTCGCATAACTGACATACAGTGCTGTATTAGTTGTTTGTTGTTCTAGGCCATTAGGATACAGGTCCCTCGGACAAGTCGCCTCCTCTCTCTGGTTTTTGTTCGAACATGGAGGCAGCTGGTGCTCACGCATGCTCTGCATGTTCGGTCCATCCTGTAGACTAGCAGCACAATAATGGCTCCATTTTACAGATAAAGTAACTACTCAGAGAGGCCCCAGGTCATACTGCCCAGAAGTGGCTGAGCCAGGATCCCCACCCTGTTATCACCGTGGGGTGATAGAACACCCCATGAGTTGGTCACACACACTGGAGGAGGGAGTGTCACAGGCCTCTCAGGTGCAGCCTGACCCAAACCAGCCATGCCCGCCCCGCCATCACACATAACCTGAGTTAGAACATTCAGCAGCCATGGCCTCACACATCTAACTGCCAAGAAAGCCTATCACCACAGCCACTATCTCCTCCCATGTGGGCCACTCAGCCACGTCCCCGCCTCCATCTGTCCCTCTCAACCCTAGTGTCCTCCTCTGTCACTTCTCCACGTGCACTTCTGCAGACACGTTTTGTCACAAACCTGTGCCCCCAAGCCTTAGCCCATACTGGTTCCCTCCCTCCTACTCTTCACACCAACTCCTTCCACCTCTGGGGGCAGGCACCTTACCCATCACTTACGTCTTTCTGATCCTGCAACAGACTGTGTCCCTTCTCCTGCTAAAATGCCTCATACCCGACCTTTCCCCACATTATCTCTCAATGCAAATTTCTGCAGATGTGTTTGTCTCACCCGGAAGGCAGAGCCCCTTGGGGGCAGGCACTGGGCCTAAATAGCCACTGTATGCAGTGCCTGGCATCAACTGTTTATTATATGAACCTCTGCAGACCCTGCCTCAGACTGCATTCACAGGTTCCCTCATGTGTCCCGGGGATAGAAGCACTCACAAGTGCTGAGTGCTCTTGTGTGCTGAGTACAGCTAAATAATTGCTTCACCTGCATTCAGTCATCAAACCCTCTGCCCAGACTCTGCGGGCAGGTGCCATGATGACTTCTCCACTGCCCAAAGAACCTACACCTCGGAAAGGTTGCATAGGCGGTGAGAGGCGGGGCCAGCATGTGAGCCCTAACAGGCGGCACTGAGCCCACCTTCCTATCTACCACGAGTCCTGCCTCCCTGGAGCCTAGTCCAAAAGTTGGCCCCCAAAACCCAACCAGAATGTACCTCCTCTCCAGCCTAGCCCTGTGGGCCTGAACCTGGCATGCTTCTGACAATGGCACCCCTCCCTGCATCTTCCCCCTGTTGTGCAGGCCCCTGCCCACCCTGAAGACAGGTCAATGCCACACACTAAAGCAAGGCCTCAAGCAGATGTCAATGTCTACCACTGCTCTCTAGAGATCTTAGCACAGGGGCCTGGAAAGGCAGAGGTGAGGACACACAGAACACTGGTTAAAAAAAAAAATCTGGATGGCTCAAATACCCATCCATGGAAAGGGAGCCACAAAAACTATGGCTCATTCAGTCCCTCGAATACCACGCTGTTGTCAAGGACTGAAGCAGGTGACACAGAATCCTCTCGAAGATATAAGGGCAAAGAAAAAAAAAAAAAAAACATTGTTAGAGGGCAATGCATTTATGTGATCCCTTTTTGGATTAAAAAGCTCATGAAACATTTTTCTCCAGTTTCTAAAAATCAAAATATTTTTTAGAATCCATTCTAGAAGCCAGCTCTGTATGGTGTGTGGGTGGGGGACAATCATGGGAGACTGTTACCATATCTGTAAGGTGTGGATGATCCACTGTTTGAATACAGAAATAAAGGGAAAACTACAATTTTTAAAACTTAAGAAAAGGAAAGCTGTCACAACCACCTCAAAAAAAAAGAGGCTTAGGAAAAAAATCAGAAGGAAAAATGGATGGGGCTGGCATCCTGCCCCCTTCAACTTTTTAGTCTCTCTTTTTCTATAGTAAATGTGTATTTTTAAAAAAATGTTTATTTATTTTGAGAGAGCAAGCACATACACGCATGGGGTTACACCTGGGGATCAGAGGGAGAGAATCCCAAGCAGGCTCCAAGCTCAGTGCAGAGCCTGACGTGAGGCTCAATCTCACCCCAGAGATTAGGACCTGAGGAGAAATCAATTTCAAGTTGGAGGCTCAACTGATGGAGCCACCCAGGTGCCCCAGTCAATGTGCATTATATTTAATTTGTTTTTTAATAGCCAGGATGACAGGATAGAGGTGGACAGGAAGGGCCCAGAGGAATGGCTGAATTGCACAGACCCTTGTATGCTAGAGGGCTCAAGGAATGCTCACGGTTGCAGAAGCTGATCCTGTAGCTTGTTTCAAAGACTGTCCCAAACAAATGGCAGGGCAGAGGGTCAGCGGAGGCCACAGCTCATTTGGCCAGTGGCTACCCAGGGGTACAAGAGTTGGGCAGTACTGGAGGGCAAAAGCTGGGCCCATTTTTCTGGGCTTTAGCTCCAGGATGGTGCCAGCCTTCGCCCCAACCATCCACTGACAGAAAATGGCTATTAGCACTTAAGTACTGCAGAGGGCAGAGGTTTTGGGTTGCTTGCGTCTAGTACCTCTTGGGCATTCCTGAACTCAACAACAGCTGAATGAATGGAATGCTCAGGCTCGCAGAGGCTGCCCCTGACACCACTGGGGGTGGGGTGGAGTCCACTTCCTCAGCCCAGTCTCTGGCAGTCCCTCTGAGCCTGGAGCTCGGCTTCTACAGCCCCAGGCCTGCTAAGTACTTGTCAGTCAGTTAAATGCAGTTTTCATGTCCAGGCCCCAAGCTGGCACTGGCAGAGACAGGCCACTGGGATGTAGGTGACCCACTCTTGGGAGAATCCTCCTCCTTTCACCCATTAGAAGGGTCTGTGAACTTCTTTCGCCCTCTATTAACATCTCCAGGAGGCAAGGCATTCCAGTGGTTTGGACTGGCCCCACCACTTCACTAGCTGAATGACCTACCATCTCTAGGTCTCAGCTTCTCTATCTGTAAAAGGGGATAGTTGTTGAGAGTTAATTGGGTGAAGTGCTTGGCACAGAGCCTGGCACACAAAACAGTCTCAAAACAATGGTGGCTCCTATTGTTATTATTATTAGCATCTTGGTGATTCCGGAAGGAAGGCAGAACTGGGCGAGAGGCCAAGGGAGTTAGGGGAGACTTGCCTGCTGGGATGCCTCAGGGACCAGCTGCCACCCAGGCCCCCATAAGCAGTTGGACAGCTTCCACCTCCTTGCCCTGGGCTCTGCCTCACCCCTCCCACTTGCTCCAAGCCCCCTGCTGAGACCCCATCCTGCCAGGCTGGCCTGGCCCCTGCCTGCCTTCCAAGCCCCACCTTCACCCACAGGCTCTGCCAGTCAAACTGGTCTCCACACCCTGTCCTGAAGCCCACAGGTCCAAGCTCAGGGCCTCTACTCCCTTCTTCCCGGTAATTCAGCCACCTCTTCTGCGCCCCCCACCCCACCCCAGTCTTGAGCCTCTTGCTGCTCCGGGAGCACTTTATCAAAGCATTTCCCTGGGATGTTTCCTCTCTCCTGGCACTGGGGGCTTTCACTCCAGATCCCTGAGGTCCAGCCCACCCAGTACTTTCCCAGGGGCCTAGGGGTCTGCCTGTCTGATTAATGAGGTTCCATGGCAACCAGAGCCTGTGAGAGTGGAGGGTGGCAGATGGAAGGACAGGCAGAGGGAGGGGATCAGCAGCTGGCCCAGCCACCCCGCCCCTGCAGAGAAGGCCTCCCAGCCAGGAGGCCTGTCCCCAGAGGCCCAGAGGCCCAGGCCTGCACCTGGCAGTGGAGCATCTAGGCAGGAAGGAGGGTCTCCTCAATGACTCTTCAACAGTCTAGCTCCAGGAACGCCCCCCTTCACTTCCCCAAGGCGCAGGTGCCACTACCCCGCCATGAGTTCTGGTCTGAAGCCAGCAGGCCTCAGTTCAAATCCCTGACCTACCACTTGCAGCCGTAGGACCGGGGGCAAGTCACTTCCCCTCTCTGGGCCTCAATTCAGATGGGCACAGTGATTAACACTGAGCTCACAGCATGGCTGTTGAGTTTTAGCCGGCTCCAAGTGGGCCAGGGACCTGGCATGCAGGCAGCGCCAACTGAATACACGTGGGCCATTATTATCACGGAGTCTGACCCTCGAGCGGCTCCGGGAAGGTGAGGCCCAGAGCACAGAAGCAAACGGGGACTGGCCCGAGGTCACCCCGCACCCCGGGGCGGGGCCCGGAGGCCCAACCCAGGCTCGGCCCCGCCCAGCCCGGGGGCCTCGACCCACCCCCTCCCCCGCCCCCGTTGCCTCCGGGCCAAAAACCGCGCCCCGCCCGGGTCTGCACGGGGGTCCAGACGCGCACTCGGCCCTGTGTCCCTGGTGTTGTCCGTACCGGCGGGCGGCCGAGCGCAGGGCGCGGCGCGCTGGGTGTGGGCCGGGGCGCCTGCGGCGTGGCGAAGAGCAGCAGGTCGGGGTCGCGGGGGCCGGCGGCGGGCGCGGAGGGGCCGGCGGGGGCCGGCTGGGCGCTGGCGTCCTGCGCCGTGGAGATGATGACGATCTGCGAGGAGTCGAGCAGCCGCAGCGCGCCGGCCCCGAGTAGGGCCTCCAGCGCCGGCGCGCATGGGCCGCCTGCGGGGGCCCCGGCCACGGCCATGGCGCTCACGGCCCGCGCGGCCCGGGTGGCAGGCGGCGGCGGCGGCGCGGGCCCATGGCGGCAGGCCGCGGCGAGGGCTCGATCCCGCTCCGCCCCCGGCCGCCGCTGCCTGCAAAGTCCCGGCCACTTTTACGCGCCAAATCCTTTTTGCCGCGAAAGAGCCACGAGCCGCGGAGCGCTCCCATCATTGGCTGCCTGGACTGTGACGTAGGCGACGGCGACTGTACCCATTGGCTGCAGCGCACCGGACCGGCGGCGGTGGGCGGGACGGGGCGTCGGCGCGAGGAGGCGCGGCCAATCGCGGAACCGGGCGCGCGCAGGCTTTGTCGGGGCGGTGCCAGGAGGTTTCGCACTCCCCGCCCCCCGTGGGGACTGTCCCTACCCCAGGCGTGGTGGCCAGGTTCCCGCCCCGACGCATCGCATCCTGCTGATCCCTGTGTTTAGAGACCTTTAGGACGGAGGGTCCGTTCTGCACCTCTAACCGCACGCAGACCTCACGTGACTCCCAGATTCCTCCACCTGTAGCTCCAACAAGCTCGGTTCGAATCACCAGATACTGCTCTTCCGCGTTTCTAGGTTCTCAGGTCCATCTTCAAAGCCCCAGCTGCGGCTCCCATCCTCAACTGGCCCCACCTATACATTTAGTTCAAATCCTGCACCTGTCTTGTCCCTGAGCAGAGGGGGGCTGCTAGAAAATGAGGAGGGACATCTGGCCCAACACAGCTTGGGGCTTTCCTATAAGCCCTCTTTTAGCTGGAATCCCTTCAATAGCCAATGCACAGCTTCTGCTTGAACTCATTCATTCACTCATCTATTCAACAAACGTTTTGAGAGTCTGCTTTGTGCCTCATTCCTAGCTCAGACTTTGAAGAGCTCAGTCTAGTGAAAAGAGGAGGCGAGGAACAGAGGCAACAAATGCTTACAACATGATGAGGAATTTCCACCATTAACTCCATGTTAGACCTCACAAAGGGAGGAAGTGAGGGTGCTGAGCATGAAAATGCATTTAATCCTGAGGCCCTGTGACCTCTCCATCAGCCATTTCTCGTTGCTCAGGTCAGCTGATTTGACCAATATTGTCCTCTTCTCTGTGCCAGGCCTTGTGCCAGCTCTGAGGGCAGAGATCTGAGACTTGATCATTTCTATGAACTTGCCTGCCATCTGGTGGGGATGACCCACAGGGGAAAAAAAAAAGTAGTTAATACACAAACAAGGATCAAGTCCCTAGGCCCAGAATAACATGACTTCCTCCAGAGTTGTAGTTATTCATTGCTGCCATTGCCCAATGCTGCCTCTGTTCCAGCATTGACCACACACTCAATTTCTCCATCTGCCTCTACTACCAGACTGGGAGCTCCCTTAGGGCCTCCTCCCAACACTGGCCTGGCCCAGAACATATGCTGAGAAAGGTTAGGAAAGAAACAGGCTAATGCCTGAAGTTACCCAGCATACAACAAGGAGGCTGGGGCTCTCCAGGAGTAGTCCTTCAGGCACCTGGCCTGGGCACTCGTTACCTTTGGGCCCACCCCAGCCTTGCCAACTAAGTCTCTTAAGTCTCCAAGAATCTACATTTTTCACAAGCATTACCCTACCCACCCACCCCCACCCCCAATTCCAGGTGATTTTTATGCAGGTTCACATTTGAGAACAAATAGTATACCTATATAGCCAAAATATGTGGTGCAGCCTCAAATTATAGCCCCTTGAGGACAATTCTCAGCTCCAGTTTCCTTATCTGTTAAAGGGGCACTGTGCCTTGGCCTCTTCCAAGCTTGCCACGAGGATAAAAAGCATAAGGGAGGTGGCTCAGTCAGTTAAGCATCCGACTTCGGCTCAGGTCATGATCTCACGGTTCGTGGGTTCGAGCCCTGCATCAGGCTCTGTGCTGACAGCTAGCTCAGAGCCTGGAGCCTGTTTCGGATTCTGTGTCTCCTTCTCTCTCTGACCCTCCCTTATTCATGCTGTCTCTCTCTCTCTCTCTCTCTCTCTCTCTCAAAAATAAATAAAACAGTAAAAAAAATTTTTTAAATAACATAAGGGAGCTGAAAGTGTTTTATAAACTATGAGGTGGTCTAGGAAAGCAGCAGGAGTTCCTAAGCAGTTTTTGAAATTGCTCATTGTAAATCTTAGACTGTGTCCGCATTAGAAGGGACCATAGAGACTGTAAGTCTCTTGCTGTAGAGATGGGAAAATTGAGGCCCATCAAGGAGTATGATGCCAGCCAGTGATAGAACTTGGCCTACCCTGGATTGCCAGCCATGGGATCATCCTGTTCCCCTTCTCCCCAGACAGAGAAGCCACCATTATTAGAATGGTAGGTCTCATTTGAAATAACCAAGCCATGGGGCGCCTGGGTGGCTTAGTCGGTTAAGCGTCCGACTTTCGCTTAGGTCATGATCTCGCGGTTCGTGGGTTCGAGCCCCGCGTCGGGCTCTGTGCTGACTGCCAGCTCGGAGCCTGGAGCCTGTTTCAGTCTGTGACTCCCTCTCTCTCTGACCCTCCCCTGCTCATGCTGTCTCTCTCTCTCCTAGAAATAAATAAAACATTAAAAAAAAAAATTTATGAAATAACCAAGCCAGACTCTGACAAAGGATGAGAGAAGCCAGCAACAGTCCCATTCCAGATGGGAGTTTCCTTTCTCTGTATCTTCCCCCAAAGGTCTCAATAACAATAACATTCTCTTTGTAAAGCCCTCTCATACCCAAAAGGCATTCAAAAAAGTTATTGAGGACTTGTCATATGCCAGGCGCTGTACTGGTTTCTGGAGAAGGAAGACATGTTATTGCCCCATTTCATGATGAACAAGCTGAGGCCCAAAGGGCATGAGCTTGCCTAGCAGATGAAAGGGCTATTATTCATGCTTGGTGAAGTCAAAGCTAGAGGTTTACCAAAGCCCTGCTCTCCCCAAAGTATTCAAGTACCCAACCTCCCAGGTAGAATCAGGTGCCCTTCTTCCCAGAATCCCTCCTGTCCTGCTGCAGCAGAAAGGAGGGAAGACCAGGATTTCCAGTGTGAATTAAAGGAAGAGATAACGTTCTTCTGTATCTATTAATACCCACTTGAAACAGCAAAGGCCTGAAAGATGGGGCCCCTTGGCCTCAAGCCTGGGAGATACTGATAAGGCTGTTCTCCACATCAACAGTTCTCTTCTGGCTGGTAGGCTTCCAAAAAATCCACAATTACTGGGCAGCCACTCCAGTGATGATCTCCTTTCAGCCAATAATCCCCTAAGTGAAGCTTGTTTATCCACATGGTGCAGGAAGGAGTCTCAGGGAGGGGCACTCGCAGCTCAAGGTGAAGGAGCAGAAATGAGATGGGAACTTAGCCTGTTCCACTGCAAAACACTAGGGCCAGCACTTTATACCTCAACACCCCCTGTAAATACACCAAGAGTCAGGCTCGGGGCTGTCAAGATTATAATGTGTGGTTTCCAAAAGGTATTATGGTGGATAGTGGCTTAACTAGTAGGCACTCACCCCCATCACCACCTGTCTGCCAACATCTAATTCTAGAAGAGTCCAAAGCGGGGGAAACTCCTGGGCCCATGATCCTCGCCTTCAATTTTTCCAAGAGGGAGGATTCCAAGTGTAGAAGTGAGAGCATGAACTTCTAAATCAAGTGGACACAAATGGAAACCTTGGTCTGTGTGATCCTGGACAAGTTAATTCACTTCTGGAACCTCATTTGATCCACAAATATTTATTGAGCAATTGTGTCAGACATTATGCTTAGGTGCTGGGGAGACAGCTGGAAGCAAAACAGACCCATCTCTCATACCTGGAGCTCACAGTCCAGTGGAAGAGTCAGAATTATTTACATGAACGTGTACAATATGCTCATTAAGAAGTTTCACAAGCACCACAAATAATTCAAGGCTATTTGCTCCACACACACCACCTCACCTAAATATATATTCTTAGGTTTGAAAAAAAAAAAAAGTCTCCAAGCACGAACATCCCATAAGTAGTGCATAATTGGGAGAAATGATTCTGTGGTGACTGAATTTTGGTAAGGGACACAGAGACATCCATTGTTGAGTTCTGGCAGGGGGAGGTGGGGAATTTTATGTCTACAACATCACATTTGTTTCAAATGATCCCTTGTTGCTACACTGAATTCTCTGACTGACGGTTTGCTGTCCCTGGAGATGTTCTGTCGCCATGCCAGTTCTGGCTGTGCTGAACACATCTGAGAGGCCATCAAACTTAGGAGCAGGTTTCAGGAGTCAGGCAGGCCCCAACTCCGTGGCTTGGCTAGATGACCTTGAGTAGGTGATTTATGCTCTTAAAGATCCTTGCTCACTCCATCCAGAGAACAAGGGGCAAAGCTCCTTCATAGTATGGGTGTCAGGTTAAACAAGCAGATTTGCAAACTGGCTCACAGGCATGATTTAATTTGCCCACAGGGTTTCTGTTGTTGTTGTTTGTTTGTTTGTTGAATTGTGAATCAATTTAAAATTTTCTTAAGCCGGAAAATGCTCTATAAAAATTCAAATATCTGGCTTTCCTTTAAAACCATACTATCTGGCAACATTAGGCAGGCCATCAGTGCTGAGCGGTTGCTGTTGCCCATTTCGCCAGAGACTTGACCCTCTGGGCCACCATAGTCCCTGCCTGGCTTGCCTCACTCAGTGACCTTACTTGCCCTGCCATTCCAGATATCTGAGTTTGCAATCCCTGATGCCTGTGGCTGGCAGAGAGTAAGCATCCAATAAATGTTAACTAACATTAGTGATATTCTTACCGTCGAGGAACTAACTAGCACCTGCATAGCCCCTCTGTTTTGCAGGTAACTAAAGACAAGACATGGGCGTGAGAGAGCAGAGAAAGTGGGCGTTCATGGTGAAACAGGAGACACGGAGCTTGATGCCAGCCAACAGTTGCCTGGCTGCATGGCCTTGGCCAAATCCTTGGCCATCCATCGGTCCATATGTTCAGTAGGGTGTGGGCCAGAGGGTCCAAGGTACGATAGTGTAAGTGGACACGTCCCAGGTTGATAAGCCATCCTCCCTTCCCCCAAACCCTACTACCCACTGAACTCAGGCTCTGGAGACCTCTCTTCTCTTCAAGGCTCCCCCAGTGTCACTTCCATTCTCTACATCATCCCCAACTTCTGA